CCCCGCCCGACAACTTGCCCGGGAGGGGGGGGGGGGGGCGCCCTCTCGCCCCCCCCCCTGCGTACGCCACTGGTAATCATATCGAATTTTATCGTATATGATAAAAATTTTACATGATTTAACATTCCATTTTGAAATAAGGCATGAAATTTGGTGTTTGACCTACATTACAAATAATATTTCATATATTTTTTATTAAGATAATAATGATTACATAAATATTTATTTTAAAATAGAAAAATTAAAATTGACATTTTTTCTTTTGCAAACTAATCAATAGTACTTGTTCATAATATTATAGTGCATATATATCTATAATTGAAAACGATTGATGACGTATTGATTCTTATCATATTATACAATCGTATACGTAATTATCAAACGATTTGTGTTATTTTTAATGACGAGATATGATTATTTTCGAATGGATTGACATGAAGAGAAATATTATCAACAATAAACGAACGATTTTTCATAGAGAATAAATTAAAATCAATTGTATCTTCATTTGTATATGATTGTTGTGAAAGTAAATCATATTCTTCATTATTATGATGATAATGAATAAAACATATACAAAATATAATTATCCATAAAATAATAATTATACTAATACCAATTAGAAATAAAGCAATACTTTCTTCATATTTAGATGAATTTATTGGAAATGAAAATGTTTCTAGAGTAAAAGTATTACGTTGTAGATCAGAAGAAATTGTTGTTCTAAAATAATTTAAATGAATTCTTTTTTTTTTTTTTTTGCTGTTTTAAAAAAAATAATTCTTTTACATACTTATATGAACATTGATAAGTAATATCAACATATTTCGAATATGAATGATGATTACAATTTAATTGAACAGGTTTAGCATGATATTGACATGGAAGATAATGATTTATACAAACATTATTATTCGATGCTAAATATAAATTAAAACAATTTTCATTTGAATAATTTAATAATTGAATATTTATATTATTTAAATTGTATGGACATCGAATACGATATTGTTGATCATCTGTGAATAAACGAATATGTCGTAGAAAAATAAATGATGAACTTTCTGAATTTGATAAAAATTTTCCATGAATTTTACTGAAAATTAATATAAAGAAACATAATTTTAACATCATTATATTATAGTTAAATAAGATAATATGTATGAGTAGAATAGTTATATATAAAATGTTTCGGACAATTTCTCGCTTGTCCGAAGCGGAACGAGAGAACGAGGAGAAGAAAGAAAAGAATATTTTTACATGAATAACTTCTGATTTTTTTGACTGTTCTTGTGAATAGCTAAAAATATCGTATAGTAACACATAAAGAAAATAGCAAATTAAACAATAAAATATATATTAGATTCGCTATCAATAGAAATATGAAAATCAACCTTCACCTGTTTGAAAATACTCTGATTTGATTTTTAAAAAGATGCAAATATGAATTAAACCAAATGTTTTTTGTTTTGCAAATGACGATGAAATAATCAACATATGTCATACTAAATAAATCTGATTACAAAAATATAACAAAAAAAAAAAAACTTCTTTCAATAAAATGACGAAGAATAAATCTAGGGAACCTAATTGAAGTTTAGAGATATCAGTACACCGTATGTTCATATCATTCTATTTGATGCAATAAACTTTTAAATAAGAACTTGATCTCAAAACATTCTTTTTTCACTATTTCGCAATTGTGGTAAACATCAAGCCCTTTTTCTTCTTCTTATCCTTGTCATCTAGATACATATATACAGGTAGATAACTGATTTAAGCATCATGCTTTCTATGCATCTAACTCATCATTATCTTTCTCATATATATATACCAACCACAATATCTTTTATTCTACTTTTGTTTCATTTTAGTCCTTGTAAAAGAAAGATGCGTTTGTTATTGGTTGCAATTGTCTGTTTGGTTACATTTGCAAGTATAAATGGATATCGAGGTCCATTTCGTAAAATGTTTCCAACTCGAAAACCAACTGTTCTTACCGTTGATGATGATCCAGGCGAGCCACTTTTTCTTACGCCATATCTTGAACAAGGTAAAATTGACGAAGCAAGACGATTAAGGTAAAATATTTTTTCATTAATTTTTCTATGTAATTAATTTATTGATTTAGTTCTGTTGAATTACCACCATATACACAACAATCATTTTCTGGTTATTTAACTGTGAATAAACAATATAATTCAAATATGTTTTTTTGGTTTTTTCCTGCGCAAAATGGTAATAAACCTGATACACCAGTCATGCTTTGGCTTCAAGGTGGTCCTGGTGCATCATCACTTTTTGCTCTTTTTACCGAAATTGGTCCAATTTATATTGATGCAAATGGAAATCTTCAATTACGTGAAATAACATGGAATAGAAATTATCATTTAATTTTTATTGATAACCCAGTTGGTACAGGTTATAGTTTTACATCAAATGATCTAGGTTATGCACGTTCACAAGATGATGTTGCACGTGATCTTTATTCAGCATTAACACAATTCTTTCAAATCTATACTGATTATGCATCAAATCCATTTTATGTTACAGGTGAAAGTTATGGTGGTAAATATGTTCCATCAATAACATATAAAATTCATGTTGAAAATCAAAATCCACAAGTTAAAGTTAAAATTAATTTGAAAGGTATGACCATTGGTGATGGTTTAACTGATCCAGTTAATCAATATATGTATGGTGATTTTCTTTATCAGGTATGATTATGTACATAAAATCTTTTTAGAACGAACTTTTTCAAAAGTTTAGCAGAATTTTGTATTTATTAATGACATGAAAATTTTCAATTTGATTTTTTTTTTCTTTACATTTTGCAAGGTATTTACAGTAAATTGAAATAATGTTCCATAAAGAAAAGATTCAATTCTAAATGACCTAACTATATTGTTTTTCTTCTATAGATTGGTCTTATTGATTTAACTCAAAAAGCATATGTTGATTTACAAACCGCTCTTATGCGTTATGCTATTGAACAAGGACAATATATTGATGCATTTCGTCTATTCGATGCTCTTCTTAATGGTGATCTTATTAACACAACATCATACTTTTATAATGTAACTGGTATAAAAAATTATTTTAATTACTTATTAACAGATGAACCAGAAGATCAAGGTTATTTTGTTCCATTTGTAACTCGTGCTGATCGAAGAAAACAAATTCATGTTGGTAATATATCCTATGGTAGTCAAAGTGATACTGTTGAAAAAATGTTACTTAATGATGTGGTAAGAAAGAAAGAACTTAAATTTCTGGTTTAAGTCTTTTATATTATTTTACAATAATATTTTAGATGCAAAGTATGGCATGGAAAGTTGCGGCTATAGCTAATGCTAATTATAGTGTTATGATTTATAATGGTCATTTAGATATTATTATTGCTCTACCATTAACAATGGAATGGATTAGTCAATTAACATGGATGGGTACTGATGAACTTCGACAAGCACCAAGAAAAGTTTGGAAAGTAGCTGATACAGATCCAGAAATAGCTGGTTATGTTAAAACAGCAAATAATAATCGATTTTTCCTTGCTACTATTCGTAATGCTGGTCATATGGTTCCATATGATCAACCACGAGCTATGCTTGATTTACTTCAACGATTTTTAGCAGCTCAACCAAAATAAACTAATAAATAATGACAATATTCCTTTGTTTGTTTATTTTATTTTATTCTACAATCATTAATTATTTTTAAGAAAAGGTTTTTATGAAAAGAATAAAGGTTTTTATAGGTATATAAATGTTAGAAAAAAAGAAATGACTAGAAAATTAAAGATAAAGATTTTTTGTTAGGGGTTTTCTTGATCATTATCATAGATACTGTTATTTAATGATAGAGATGATTTAACAGGTAGAAGATTGAATGATTGATCTAAATATTTAAAAATCATTTCATAGAGATATTCATATTGTGCCTATAAAAACAAAAAGAAAAATTAACAAAATAAAACTTGTATATTTTTCGACATACGAATGATGTAATCATAGCAGGTCGTTGTCGTTGTAGTGCACGCACACGTTGAAAAATATCGATACTATATTCATTATTAAGTTGATTCAATAATATAAAACTCATACAAAATATTGAACAAGATGGACCACCATTTCTAAAATTCATTTTCTTAATGAATTAACGTATTGATGATATGACATCATTTGAAAGATCCGCAAGAAAAATTAAATTTATCTCGTTTTACGCTTTTGGAGATACGAACTAAAGGGAGTAAAACACGGTAATTTCGTGTAAACCTATGCATTCATTAGATTAAGAGTGAATTCAAACCCAACAAAAGCTTTTATCACAATTTTTGAAGGATTAAAATGTGAAACACAATGTAGCTGTTATTAATTACTTTATTCCATCTATTTTGGGACACATTTCTTCACCATCATTTTACTTAATCCTTCAGAAATACAATAAGAAAGTAGTACAAATATTATAACGAAAACGTCTGCGGGCTTTCAAACTTTAACATTCATTTCAGATTGAGTTTCATAGAATATTAGACGAAATTTCTAGCTTCATCAATTTATATTTATTCGTCAGATCTAACGAGAAAACCTCTCCAGGTGTTAAATCGCTTTTCGCTCAGGACCATTGCCATTCGATAGGTCCTAGTGAGCAGTGAAAAAGTCTATCTTGGTTTGGGTGCATGGGCCTCTGGGACTGAGCTATTGAA